GTTTCGTTAAATTTATTCCTAGGTATTTTATTCTTTTTGTTGCAATTGCAAAAGGAATTAATTTTTCTACTTTTTCTGACACTTTGTTATTAGAGTATAGGAATGCTATGAATTCTTGAACATTGATTCTGTATTCAGAAACTTTACTGTATTTGCTTGTTTCTAGTAGTGTTCTTGTGGAATCTTTAAGGTTTTCTATATAGAGAATCATGTCATCTGCAAATAGTGACAGTTTGACTTTTTCGTTTTCTATTTGGGTGCCTTTTATATCATTCTCTTGTCTGAATGCACTTGCTAGGACCTCCAATGTTATATTGAATAACAGTGGCGATAGTGGACAGCCTTGCCTTGTTCCTGATCTTAGAGGGAAGGTTTTTAGTTTTTCAGCATTAAGTATAATGTTGGCTAAGGGTTTGTCATAGATGGCCTTTATTATGTTAGGGTACTTTCCTTCTATATCTATTTTGTTAAGTATTTTGATCATAAATGGATGCTGTATCTTGTCAAAGGCTTTTTCTGCATCTACTGGTATGATCACATGCTTCTTATTTTTTAATTTGTTTATGTGGTGTATCATTTGCATATGCTGAACCATTCCTGTTCCCCTGGGATGAAGCCGTTTGATCGTGGGGTATAACCTTCTTAATATGTTGCTGTATTTGGTTCGCTAGTATCTTATTTAGGATTTTTGTATCTGTGTTCATGAGAGATATTGGTCTGTAGTTTTCTTTTTTTGAGTTATCCTTACCAGGTTTTGGTAGCAGGGTAATATTGGCCTCATAAAATGAATTGGGAAGGATTGCCTCCTCTTTGATTTTTTGGAAGAGTCTAAGGAGAATAGGTATTAAATCTTCTTGAATGTTTGGCAGAATTCACTCTTGAAGCCATCTGGTCCTAGATGGTAACATATCAGTTTTTAACCTTGCCCCCATCCCATAAGGGCTAGATGACCGACTGAGGGAACATACCTTCCTGAAACTTACTAACCATAAACTGTCCCAAAGACTAGGCAGGTGTTCACCTATTACAGGGCCCATATGAATTTAAACTTCCATGAAAAAACAAAAGCCCTGCACACCATTCTGGTAAATATGATCTTATATTATTGGTCTGGTGCTTTCATTGGCTTACAATCCAGTGAATCCCTCCAAATGAGCCAGTTTCAACTGAACGGGTAAATGCTGAGAGTGGGCACCCATTTGTAAAGGATACTCCAGACTCATCTCTCTGCAACAACACTGGCCCAGAGGCTCACTGCTGGAGATGACATTACTTCAGACATCAACCAGTACAGGGTCTCATGGCTGGAGATGACTTTACCCTGACACTAAACTCTCCACCCTAGTAACCACGTGGACGGCTTCTTCTAAGGCCCAAAGTGGACACCGGGCATTCTTTGCTTTTCCTCCTTTGATATTAGGGATTCTACTATGATTCTGAGTTCCTTGTCTGTTAGCCCATGATCTAGGTACATTACTTGCTCTCTGCTGAAACATATACTTCTACACTCCATGACTACAGGAAAATCTGGTATCATTCTAAAAATTAATGGACTGTATAATTCCAGCTACTGTGACATTCTAGAAAAAGCAGAATTACAGAGACAGCAAAAAGATCAGTGGTTGCCAGGAGTTGGAGAGAGAACAGACAAAGCACAGAGGATTTTTAGGGCAGTGAACATACTCTGTATGATATCATACTGATGGATACATGTCATTATGTATTTGTCCAAACTAATAGAATGTACAACACTAAGAATGAACCATAATGTGATCTGTGGAGTTTAGGTCATGATGATCTGTCAGTTTTGGTTCATTAATTGTAACCAATGTACCACTCAGGTGGGGGATGTTGACAATGGGGTAGTCTGGGGATGGGCAGGAGTCATATGAGAACTCTCAATTTTGCTGTAAGCCTAAAAATTCTCTAAAAAGAAAGAAAAAAAAGCGGGGGTGGGGCGGGGCGGGAGATTATCGCTTTCCCTAGGAGGTGCCTGCCTCATATTAGTCAACTCTTTGGCGCCTGGGGAGAGGACCGCACTACTCTGATGCTTTCTCCTACTAACCCCTCAACTTCCACCAAGACGTTACATTCTGCCTTGTGACCACAACCACTCCCTTCCCCTTGGTTACACACAATATCACTAATTTTTACATACACTTTACTAATTTATTAGCTCGCACCATCCAACAAAACTGCTAGAAGTACCACCTTGTTCTCAGCAAACTTCTAATTCACTTTACAGCTCCAAGAGCGGGGACCAGGCAGCAGCCCCGGGAGGAGGCGTGCCAGCTCCTCCCCCCGGCATCCTCCCCTTTCAAAAGCCTTAAAGGTAGTGCAAAAAATTTCAGCTTTATTTTCTTGGCTAATGCCGAATGGGAAACTTAATTATGGCCTGGGCTATAAGAATTTCTTGTCATTCTGCTTGTGGTCACAGATAACACAGTAAATGTTTTCTGTTTGGTCAGGGCAACTTACTCTCTACTCTCTGTAACTCTCCACTATCAATACCCCAAAGTTTCCTTACTATGATGTCAAAACATCCAAGTACTGACTGTACTATGTACACACACAGAGGAGAGGCTTTTTTCTGTATATTATGCTTTAACATCTGGGAAAAAAAAAAAAAACCTCTTTCTGGCTGGAGAGAGACTGTTCCTCTGGGCTAACCAATTCCTAGAAATAGCAAAAGGATTCAACCAGGAGCATGACTTGGATATGTAAACTAACCAGTCCAGAGCCATATCATCTCTATCTGACCCATACACCCTGGGAGGCAATATTCCTCTGTCATAATCATCCCAGGGCCAGGTAGCAGGCAACTAGAGACCACCCTTTTAGCTCAAAGCAGACTGTCCCTCTGGGCTAGCCAATTCCTAGAGACAGCAAAAGGGTTCAACCAGGAGCATGACTTGGATATGTAAACTAACCAGTCCAGAGCCATATCATCTCTATCTGACCCATACACCCTGGGAGGCAATATTCCTCTGTCATAATCATCCCAGGGCCAGGTAGCAGGCAACTAGAGACCACCCTTTTAGCTCAAAGCCCACCAAAATTATTCAAACCAGCCAATCCTGGCTGTTTTCTCTGTTCTGCCTTACCTTTCCTGTGGAAATTCCTATAGAAGCAGTGGCCCAAACCACCACTCACTTCTGCCCCTTCTGCCTCTTGACCACCCTGCCGTTTTTCTTGATGACTCTGTGTGGAATGCCTTGCCTCCTGGCTCTGGGACTTGTGAATATAATAAACTATTTTTTTCTTGAGCTTCTCCTCCATGGCAGCACCTGACTGACCTTCTCGTAAATTATAATATAACTCTGTTGAGTTATATTGCTTTCTTATTCATTGAGAAACTTAATCCTATAATATTGGAAGTTATCAGAAATTCGCTTTGAAATTCTATCAGTAAGGCAGAAATATCCCAATTTTGCCTGGAGGATCTATATCGTTATTTTGACATCTGACATGGAGAAGTCTTGATTTAAAACCCAGGTGCTGAGCTTAAACAGTTTTTGGACACAACATTTCACATTTATCTTAATTTTACCATTTACAAGGAAACAGGGCCCTGGGTTGTTTGTAGTCCAGACCTTTACACAGTCCTGCTTTGCTTTGAGACTACCAAAATACCGCTTCACTTAAATTTAACCTAAACAACACCCTTCCACGGAATCCATTAAGTACCCATTTTGCTTTGTTGGGTTGAGACACCCATGGTTCTTCTGATGTGACTTTCTCCCTCTTTGGAATGAGTTACAAAGTCTGATTTTATCAGACTTCAGGTTTGTCCCTAGTGTTGTTATGGTGCGGTGGCTAGGAGAATTGGAAATAACACACATTCTACCCATAGAAAACTGGTTGTATAAACTATCACATCATACATCATAATGAAGGGCTCTGTAGCCAGAAAAAAAGGATAGGGAAGATCATTATTAATAAACTGATTTCAGTATATAGTATTAAAGGGAAAAAATATATACTCATGTGAACATGAAAAGATATATACAGCTGTTATTTCTAAGAAGCCCTGAAAGGTTACACCAGAAACTAACAAAATGGAAATGGTTAGGTACTTGTGGTGATGTGAGACGTCTGAATGTACCTTTTAATATAGTTTTGCCTTTGAACCATGAAAATTTTATAAATTTAAAGAATAAGTTAATTCAAAAAGGAAGCAAACATTGAAATTAAATGTAAATGGACATAAACGTAATAGTGTATCAAACATAACCATGCAGATAAAAGACTTAGGAGTTCACACAAATATATGAACATAACACTCCGAACTTTATAGTCTTAATATAAACATATAAGGACAAAAAAAACCACAATGAAACTCAATACTAAGCCTACAATTTGTAGTAATATTGGTATTTTGTGAATTACTGTACACATACTGCAGGATAAAACATCAATGCAATCAGGAACCAGTTTTTATTATGAGAAAAAAGATACAAATATAAAATAGAAAGAAAAAACCATATATTAAATTTGTACTGGGAATGTTTTAGGAGCTGGCCTTCATTCTTAGCAGGAGCATGTTTAAGAGGTGAAGTGAAAGTCTGCAATTTACCATTAACACAATGTATCCGTATCAAGAGAGACAAATGAGACAAAATTTTAATCTTAGAGAAGGGTTCATCGATGTTCATTTTACTGGCGCTCATGTAGACCTGCTTTAGATAAGAATTTCAAGGTAAGAACCTGGGAGAAAATTCCACACACACAAACTCATAGAAATGAGGGTAAATTCAATTCCAACTTCTGCTACTAGCAGCAATCAGCCTGCACTGTCTTTCTTCCCAGACGCCTCCATTTTGAAGCTTTGGGGATTTGCAGGGTTCTGGGATAAGCCGATGAAATCAGAGCGGGTAGCCCACTTTTCCTCCGTAATCAACGCGGTATTTAGACATTCACACATCCATTTTATTCACCTCGGACACATGTGCTCCCTAACAACCTGGAAATGTTTCTCTTTCCACCGGAACGTAACTTACCAAACTTCAATAACCGACACTCAAGGCCGGAACGAATCCACCGAGTGCTCACCGGGACCCGACGAACTGCCAGGTGGAGGGGACACGGGGACGCTGGGGCCGGAGTCACTGTGACGCGATCAACAGCGATGCTTTTCCTTTTGGAGAAAGGGCAGAAAGGCTGATTTTTGAGGCTTTTGAAAGGAGAGGATGCCGGGTGGAGGAGCCGGCACGCCTCCTCCCGGGGCTGCTGCCTGGACCCCGCTCTTGGAGCAGGGGCAGTCGCTCGGGAGCACAAGCCAGAGGCCGGAGCGGCAGGGTCAGCGCGCTAGGCAAGCGCCCGGTGACCCCACGCCTACCCTTCGGGCGCTTCCCATCCCGCATAAACCCACAGAGGCCAAACGCCAAGACAGGAAAATACACCTCCGTCGCAGGAGGGCGCACGAAGCAAAGATGGCCGCCGCCTCGCGCACGCGCACTTTGAGTCTCTGCGAACAGGGTGAGGGGCGGGGCCTCAGACAAAGGTGAGAGGCTGCCGCTTCTTTCAGCTATCTGGGAAGCATGGGGCACTCATCCCGCCTGATGGTCGGGCCGTGTCCCAGGATATGCGCAGTGCTTTATTTTTTCCCTAACCCCTGTCTTACATGAAAAACAGTTGCTTTCGTTGACTCAAAAATAATATCGATTGGGTATTTTGTCACTAAAAAGGACTTATTTCGGGAAAAACAAGTTCTTACTGGGATTTGCGTGCCATAATGGAGGGGAATTTTCAGAAGGGAAAAGGAAGTTAAGGGAAGGGCAAGTTAGAACCATAGAGCTTTATTGTAAACACAGAGCTCCTCCTGTAGGGTTGTCCCGGTGACAGACTGCAAGGAACTTCCATAAGCCCTGGCTCTTCCCGTAGACCCTCCTAACTAATTGTTCCCTTGAAGTTTCAGTCAGTCTTTATCCAGTCTTATCACTTTCAAATTTTACTGTTTACTTGAATGCATCCTAACTCTTCTTTGCACCATTGTTGAATATAGTCACTGCATAGCTGCATTTGACCTTTTCACATAGCAACATAAATTCACGGTTTGTGATTCAGTTTTTCAGTGTAGTTTAGCTTCCTCTCTGTGATTCCCCTTACCTGGAAAAGGAGCTGCACACTGCAGTCAAGGTGAGAGGGAGCAAGCGCTACAGCATCTCAGTGTAGGGGCTCTGATACTACACTGGGGGTGAAGAGGTGACATTAAGTTTAAGTCTGAGATGGCTTCCGCTAACTGCATGTCTGAGGTTACTGTCTTGAAGCAAGGGGAGATTCCTTAGGTACTGGGTTTCAAGAGCAACTGTAATGCCCAGTGGGTCTGATTTCCATTATATTGGAGTTAAAAATATAAGAGCTTGACCGTCCATTTCAAGTACTAATAGAAAAAGAAAACAGGTTATTATAATTTGGGAGAATTCTTGATAGTAGCCTAGAGTTGGTCAAAGGCTAACTCTGCAGTGACCTCCCATGGTAGAATTTCAGGGGTATCATTAGTTATGTCGTAGAAGAGGCAGATAATTAAGTCAGCAATGCAGTTTATAATAGTCTTAGGAATCCTCTAAGTTGTCTTTTGGTAAAAGAAAAGGAAATTTTGAATACTGTAATTCTCTGGTGTGAGGGACTTGCTTTCTAGGGTTATGTCATGGACTGGATAGTGAACCTACAGGGTCTGATCAAACTGTAATTTACCTCAGAAACATATATAGCCAAAGTTGTCCAGAGATAGAGATTCCTCTTGAGAAGAAGATAGTGCAGGTGAACATAAAAGCAAGTCATCTACATCTAGAATTAAGGTAGAAGAAGAGGGAGGTTGTAAGTCTAGGAGTTTATGGGAAAGAAGTATGACGGCCCTTTAGTGAAGACTTGTGGCATCATGGTGCAGGTTTATTGTCTAGCCACAAGAAAGTAAAAAGGTATTGGGAATCCAGATGTAAAGAACACTAGAGAAGGCTGAACAGAGACCTACTACTGTGATGTGTTGATTTTAGAAGTAAAGAAGCCAGAATAGTATATGGGTTGGGGGCCACAAGAACTGTGAGCACACGATACAATTTACAGACCTTAAGTTTTTTACAAAACAATACTCTCATTTTCTTTTAAAAGGTAGGAGAGTTTCAGAAACTGGTACAAGGAATGAGTAAGTTTTTGGCTATGAAATCTGTAACAATAGGTCTAGTGCCTCTAGTGCTTTGAGTTTTGATACAGGCACAATTTGCCTCAAGTGTTTTCAAAAATTGATGTTTGATGGTCATTTTCTAATAGAGTTATTTCACTTTGTTGATCCCAGGGTCATTTGTAATGTAAATAATAAATCTTTTTATACTCAGTGTGTGTGTGTGTGTGTGTGTGTGTGTGTGTGTGTGTGTGTATGTGTGTGTGTGATCAAGTCTCGACATCCAAACAAAATTTGGGATGGGAGGGTCCATTCAGTGTCTGCAGGGTGTTTTTACTGCTTTAACTACTGTCCACCACTGTTTTTTCTTTGACAAGGTGGCACTTGGACAGGGTTGCATGAGAGCAGTCTCTCACAGCATTAGGCCATCCAGAGGCTGATGGCACAGGGGTCACCAATCAGAAGGGAAGGAGGACAAGGGAATCTGGGAGGTGATTTACATGTCTAGGTGATGCTGCTCAGCAGCCCAGGGAGGGGGAATCCCTGGGTCAGAGAGCTCTGAAGAGTCGTAGCAACATAGAACCACGAGGCTCTATTAATCAATCTTCAACAGATGCTGGCTGAGGTTTCACAGAGTACGCAAAGCAGGCCTAAATGGCTTAAATTATGCGATTGGAGGATATTTAAAAAATAATTGGATGTGTAAAAATTTGAGTTTGGTGCCAGCAGGCTTTTGAGCCTTCCTCTGCATGAGCAGTTATCAATAAAACAATGAAAGGGATACTAAAGGCCTAATGAAAGGACCAAATGAATAGAAGAGAGATCTCATAGATTGGTATAGGCTTAAGTTTTGCGTCTTATGTATAGCAACATGGAGAAGGGTGGGTATAAACGCATTCGATGAGCATCCTGTTTTCTGGCTCTTAGGGCCTGGACAGGAGGCCCTAACCCTAAACTAACCCTGACCCTAGCCTTCATCAACCTTATCTCCCTGGACCCGGCCCCACGTTAAGCCCCGCTCTCTGAATCTTCAATTAAGTCCCAGTCCCACAGTACTAGTCTACGAAGGTCCGCCACTGACCTGGTCCCGCCCCGCTCCGTGCTACCCCAACATCTGCGCTGATCCGGCCCCCGGATCCTCCCGGGAGAAAGAAAACTAACACTACCCCTCCACTCGTGGCTGGAAGCGGACACTGCCCCGCCCCGCCCCGTCCCACAGCTACACGTAATCCCTATTTCCCAGCTCTCGAGGCCCCGCCCCTTACGCTGTGCGCGGCGGATAAACCGGAAGCAGAGGTTCGCTTTTGTGCGTGCGCGAGCCTTCGGCCTTGTCTGCTCGCGCCGTGGGTCGTGTTTCTGGTCCGGTTCGTCCTCATCGTACCCGCCTTCAACCTGGCCCGCTTTAGGTCACGTGCGGGGGGCGGAGAGGTCGGCCTTGGGGTCGGCGATCAACGGGCAGCCGCCGCCGGGACCCCGCGCGCGAGGCCTCCCATCCCCGCGGGTGGCTGCGGCTCGTTCCAAATTCACGGAATCCGGAACGCTGGGCTGGGTCCAGCAGCCGGAGTGAGAGCAGACTAGAGTTGGAGAACCACCCTCGTATTTAATCGGCCTCCAAAAAACATCCTTTGCTCTCTTTTCAAAAACGAAAAGCATCCCTGCCATTCAGGTCACGGGGAAGAGAGCCTCACCTTGTTTCTACGCTCATCTGTGGATTTCAGCGTATTTGGTGAGCACCGGGTGACATTTGCCTCAACTACTACCCCACCTCTCCCCTCCTGATGCAAGAGATATTATTTAACCTGAATTTTACCCTGCCTGAGGGGCAAAATCCGTTTGCTACGTTATAGTCAGGTGCATAAAAGTAAACTGGTTATTTAATGTGTTCGTAACTCTCCTCGCCGAATGCAGCTATAATTTTTAATTATTTTTCTGTGGATATCTTGAATTTCACACCTAAAGTGTGATCATCTGCCAGTTTCAGCGTCTTCTTTTTCTATTCCTTGTACTTTGTATTTCTTTCTATTTCCTTAGTGCAGTTATTAGGACCTCTAGTTCAATGTAGAGTAGCATAGAATTTGCATCCTTGCTTGTTCCTGATCTCAGAGGGAATTTACCATTTCACCAGTAAATAGGATGTTTACTATAGATGTTTGTAGATTTTCTTCTACTAAACCTGTTCCCTTCTGGTCGTAGTGGGTTGTATTATTAGCACCAGTGGACAATAATATAGATGTCACTATTTTGTATCTGAGGGGATGAGTCATATGATCTATTAATGTGAATTATGTTAATTGATGATTCCATTTTCAACCATCTTTTATTCTTAGGATGAAATGAACTTGGTTTGTGATTATTATCCTTATAATTCATTTCTCGACTGTACTGTTATTATTTTGCCCTAAAACGTATGAACGAGATCTTTTTTTTTTTTTTTCTTTTTTCGAGTTGTATTTTTCTGGTCTTGGAAATAGGAAGTTTTCCTGTCTCTACAATGTAATTTTGACTCCCTTACTTATTTGGTGAGCCTGCAGGTAAAATAATTTGTAACTTATGTTTCCTTTGTGTATGTTTTAAGCTGCTGATTTTTTTTTTCAATGACTAGATATAATCAAGTATTGTATTTATTTTAGATCATTGCTGGAAAGTAGTATTTCGAAATTCATTCAATACCTGCACATTTGTGTATCTATTCTCTTTATTGTCATAGTCTCCCTGCAACAGCTGTAATTGTGACTCATCTTAACTTTTTGTCTGTGCTCTGTTCCTAAAATTGCTAAGGATTTGTTGACTTCATTAATTTTCAAAGGACACTGCTAGCTTTTCTGATCCAGTTTATTAGTTTTTTAAGGTATCATTAATTGTGCCTTGTTTTCACTTTCTTTCTAATCCTTTATGCTGTTCTTTTTCCAACCTTATAAGTCAGCATTAGCCCACTGATACAGATTTTTTTTTCTTTTCTGGGAATTGATGATATCGATAAGTACATATATCAATATATATATATGTATCACACCAGTTTTGGATTTCCGCTGCTGTCTGAAACAGTTATTTTAATTTTCTGCTCATGAGTAGTCCTCACTTGCTAAAGATAAATGTGTGTGCATCTCCTTATCCCTATAATATGCTACATTTTTATGTAGCATATACCACCTGATAATATTTTGTTAATTCTGTCCTCCTTCAAAAGATTATAAAGTTCATGTGCTTGAGGATTTTTCTCTTTCATTCAGTGCTGTATCCCCTGTGACTGCAAGTAGTAGGATCAGAGGAGATAGTATATAAATGAATATGAAGCTAAGGAGCAGGAGGTAGGGGCCGTAAGGGAATCATGGTTGCTAAAGACATACGGTTTAGTCAAGAGAAGGAGCTCAAAGATAAAGCATTTGAATAGACTGCGTCCTTAGTCTATTCTGCATAGTGTGCCCAAGAGGATTCTAGGCCAGACCTGGTAATTTTAGGGAATAAAGGCCTCACTAACAACTAGGTTGTAAGGTGTGTGTTCGGAAATATATTCATTGGGCATCTAGGCTTTGAAGATAACTAGACCTGTGTACATAGCCCAACTGAGCAGCTTTCTAGTTAGGTGACATCAAGTGCATGGCTAATTGTCTTTTCTAAGATTTCTCAACTATAAGGTAACTAGTTATAATAATATCTGATTTTCAGAGTTTCCATGAAACATAATTTCTTTGCAAAGGTATGGACATCTTTTTGCAAAATCATTCTTACATCATGGTTGCTCAGATGGAACATTTTATTGATATAGTAAAGAATACCACAGTTTTTATAGTAAAGAATATCACACTTTTTTATTGGTTTTAAAATACATACTGGATCCACCGCAGTGGAAGAAATGCATTTTCGTTATTTGAAATTTGTGCAGCAGCACTATAGATATTGGTATCACAGGTGACACACATTGCTAACTTCAAGTATTCTTGTTCTGCTGCTTCTGCATAGGCAAATTTTAGCATGAGAATCGCGGAGTGGCAGTCTTTTCTGCCTTCTGTGTGTGGAATTCAGTCAGTTGATGTTCTTTCTCAAAAACCAGGTTTCAGGGACCCTGCAGCCCTGGAAGGAGGGTCCAGTGATTAGGGGCTGAGCACTAATGGCTTGTAGTCTGGCAAGGGCTGCAGAAGTGTGAAATACTGGAAATGGAGCCCTGAGAAGTCTGGTACAGAAGTCATTGCTTTCTCGGATTCGAGGCAGCGTGTATATTCTTAAGGTTGAAGGCGTTGCCTGATAACTCTTTATATTTTTCATGGTCAAATTGACAGCTAAACTTTTAGATTTCAGTTAACTTAGTTGCAAAATGGGACCCCTAACCTTTATTAAAAAATGATCGACAAGAACTAGAGCACAGTCTTCTAGCTCTAGAGGAGGCAAGATTGTTCCGTCTTCTTGTAAGATTGGTGTGTGTTTGAGTGTCTTGGGGTATGCATGTTCATGTGTGGGTTTGTGTGTGTGTGTGTGTGTGTGTGTGTGTGTTCTGAGGGGAGCGGTTACTTTTAAAGGATGCGTTGCAGCACTAAGGCTCATGAGTGTGGAAATTGTAGGTAGACCTAGATTTTCATGTTTCTTTCTCCTGCCTCAGCTCTAACTTCTCAATACTCTGCCTTTCTTCATAAAGGGAACATGGACGAAGGAAAAACAGCGGCTGAGTTACAGAAAAATATGACACAGGTAGGTAAGAGCTAATAATTCTCCAGGGGAGTATTTCCATTCCACCAGGTTGTCGATCTAACTGTTTAGAGCAGGGGTCAGTAACCTGTTTCTCTACTGGGCCACATAGTAAGTATGTCAGGCTTTGAAGGCCAGAGTTTCTGTTGTAACCTAGCTCTGCCATTTTAGTGTGAAAGCAGCCATAGACAGTATATACACAAGTTTTATTGTGTTCCAGTAAAACATTACTTACACAAACAGGTGGTAGGCTAGATTTAGCCATGTGCCGTAGTTTGCTGATCCTTGGCCTAGAATATAAGAAAATATGGTGAGCTGTGGACCTAGTTTGAAAGTTGTGCTTCTACAGGCTCCCGAGCCTCTCGGGTTTAAGAAAAAAAGAAATCTCCGTGTCCCTCAGTGTGTTTTTATTCATCCACATTTGACCCAGTGTTTCATGGTGTGCTGATTGCTATGACAGGAGAGAAGGAAGCAGGTGAAATTGTTTTTGTAACAAGCAATTGCTGGTGTTAGTGTGGAAATTACAGTAAGTCCTCACTTAACATTGTGGATTCTGTGACCTTGCAAAATGATGGATAATGAAACCAATTTCACCATAGGCTAATTGATATAAACAGGAGTTAAGTTCCCACGGCATCTCATCAATGGTATAACACAGCGACGTTATTCGAGGACCTGATTTATTTCATTTTGACAGCGTTTCTTTCATTTTTGCTATATACTCTGGACTGTTCTGGATTATATAAGACTGGAATTGTTCATCATCAAACTGTGGAGAGATTAATTTAGTGTTTTAGAAGTGTTGTTAAGTCTGCGAGACAGGATTGGATCAGTCAGGAAGGATGTTTAGGGAAAAAGAGATCTGATGGCTGAGTCCCAGGGTCGATGTTAGGAGACCATAAAATCTTCAGAACTTCCTATGAATGAATTCTAAGTTCCCCAGTACTGTCAGCATCATCCATCCTCCTGAACACATTGGGGGAGTTGGTGTCTTTCTGACCAGAATATGTGGGATGTTTCAGGACTCAGTGCTCTTTGAGGATGTGGCTGTGGACTTTAGCCAAGAGGAATGGGCTTTGCTGGATCTTACTCAGAAGAGCCTCTACAGAGATGTGATGCTGGAGAACTTCCAGAACCTGGCCTCACTAGGTAAGAATGGCAGCATCCCTTCGTTTAGTTGTTTAGAAAACAAATTTATCTGACTAACCAACCTCATTCTAGGATTTGGGCTGAGGAATTGGAATACACTGGTAAATAAGATAGACATGGTCACTGACCCCCAAGGAACTTGTAGTCTAGTGGCTTCATCATGAAAATAAACATCTGTGTATTGAACTGACTTTTTCTTGTGGTTGAAAGCCTGAAGGCTTATTAAGCATCAAAAGTGTTGGTATAGACTTCAATTAGGGGCACAGAGAGGTTTGTGGATTAGGACTGTTTGAGAATTTTATTGATGTCTATGTTCTTTACTCAAAGACCACCAGGAACATACCTGTAGTTAAGTAAGTTGGGTTTATTACTCAGTGCTGTGAGGGAGAACACATGACATGGGGGGCTGTGGGGTGTAGGAAAGCATATATTCTAGTTTTGAACTTTGGTTGAGTGATTGGGGGATGGGTCTTTGGAAACAAGTTGTATTAGTTTCCTAGGCCTTTTGTAACAAAGTACCACAAACTCAGTGACTAAAAACAATAGAAAAGTATTCTCTCACATTTCTGGAGCTGGATGTTTGAAATCAAGGTGTCAGCAGGGTCATGCTTCTTCTGAAGGCTCTGTGGAAAAAAACCTTCCTATATCTTCCTAATGTCTGATGGTGGCCAACAATCCTTGGTGTTCTTGGCTTGCAGCTGCATTTCTCTAATCTTTGCCTCTGTTCACACAGATTTCTTCCCCTTGTCTCTAAGTCTCTCCTTTATAAGGACACTAGTCCCACTCTAATCCAGTATAACTTCATCTTAATTTGATTACACCTGCAAAGACCCTATTTCCAAATAAGGCAACATTCTGAGATTCCAGGTGGACATGAAATTTTTTAAAAGTACATTTATTTGTTTGTTTGTTTGTTTGTTTTTAGAGCAGTTTTAGGTTTATAACAAAATTGAATGGAAGGTACAGAGGTTTCCCATATACCCTGCTGCCTCCACCAATGCACAGCCTCTTCTGCCTTCAACATCCTCCACCAGAAGGTACATTTGTTACAATTAATGAACTTACACAGACATGTCATTGTCACCTAGAGTCCATAGTTTACATTAGGCTTCACTCTTGGTGGTGTATAGTCTGTGATTTGGACGAATATATGATATATATCTACTATTATAATATCGTACAGAATAGTTTCACTGCCCTGAAAGTCCTCTTTGTCCTGCTAATTCATCCTGCCTTCCCTTCGAACCCTGGCAACTATTAAACTTTTTACTGTTCTACAGTTTTCTCTTTTCTAGACTGTCATGTAGTTGGAATCATACAGTATGTAGCCTTTTCAGATTGGCTTCTTTCACTTAGTAATGTGCATTTAAAGTTCTTTCGTGTCTCTTCATGGCTTAATAGCTCATTTATTTTTAGTACTGAATAATATTCCATTATCTGGAAATACCACAGTCTATTTATTCATTCATCCGCAGAAGGACATCTTTACTGCTTCCAAGTTTTGGCAAATATGAATAAAGCTGCTATAAATGTGTGTGCAAGTTTTTTGTGGCACATTTTCAACTCCTTTGGGTAATTTCAAATAGCATGATTATCTGATCATATGGGAAGAGTATGTTTAGTTTTGTAAAAAACCCGCCAGCCTGCCTTCAAAGGTGTCTGTGCCATTTTGCATTCCTACCAGCAGTGAATGAGAGTTCCCATTGCTCCACATCCTCATCAGCATTTGGTGTTGTCAGTGTTCCAGATTTTGGCCATTCTCATGGGTGTGTAGTGGTATCTCATTGTTTTAATTTGCATTTTTCTGATGACATGATGTGGAGCATCTTTTCATATGCTTATTTGCCATCTGTATATCTTCTTTGGTGAGGTGTCTGTTAAGGTCTTTGGCCATTTTTTAATTAGAGTTTTAAGAGTTCTCGTATATTTTGGATTAACAGTTCTTTATTAGATACGTGTTTTGCAAATATTTTCTCCTAGTCTGTGGCTTGTCTTTTTATTCTCTTGACAGTGTCTTTTGCAGAGCAAAAATTTTAATCTTAATGAAGTCCAGGTTATCAGTTCTTTCTTTTGTAGATTATGCCTTTGGTGTTGCATCTAGCAAGTCATTGCCAAACCTTAGGTCATCTCGATTTTTCTCCTATTTTAAGAGTTTTATAATTTTGCATTTTAAATTTAAGTCTATAATCAGTTTTTGTGAAGAGTAAAAGGTCATTTTTTTGGATGTCAATATCTAGTTCCAGTCTTTGTAAAAAGACTATTTTTTCTCCATTGTATTGCCTTTTCTCCTTTGTCAAAGGTTAGTTCACTTTTATATGGGTCTGTTTCTGGACTCTGTATTCTGTTCCACTGATCTGTTCAGACATGAATCTTTGAAAGACACTGTTCAACCCAATTGGATTGAACCTGGGTGCAGAATGTGGGGGAAATTCTATTTTTGGGTATTTTGTGCATACACAGTGACTTTTTGTTTGCCTCCCCTTAGACTAAATTATGAAGTGGCCTTGTCTTGTTTCATTTTACTGTGGTCTCAGGGTAACCTTGTGTAAGATTGATATCTTGTGAGATTATTTTTGTTCAACAGGAGAACAAAATGTTCAGGGTGTATCAGACCAGCTTCAAACAATATTGAGAATTACATATAAATGTCAGATCAGCTCTAAACATCTGAGGCTATGTCACAGCTCCCCATCCCCCTTAAAATTTTTTTTGACAAACATTTTGTTGCAATTAAATTCACATCTGCTCATCCTCAGCATATCAGAAGATCAAAGTTTTGGCCTTGTCTCATGGAAGAGTTTATGGTTCCTCATTGTTCTCTTTCATGTGATATGCCTTTCTGCATTAACAGGGTATCCACTACACACACCCTGTCTGATCCTCCAGTGGAAACAAGAGGAGGACCTGGAGATAGCAAAGAGAGGACCTGTCGAGCAGGAGCACCAGGAAGGCAAGGATTCTTGGGAGAAACTGTCCTGGTTGCGGGATATTACATTCGGAAAAATCAAATAAAAGCAAAACAAAACTTTGTTTTGTTCGAAAGGCTGATTTTCCACGATACCATTAATTACTATTTGACTTTTTATCAGTCCACTGACACTTTCCTTGTTTTGGGGACAGACCTTGCATATTTCCTCTTTGTAGGTTAGTGTTTGTCCATGCACATTTTATCCAATTCCTTTTTGTTTTGTTCTTCTAATAATACCCTATTCATGTTACCATCAATCTCATTCTTCATGGAATTATTTCTTAGTTCTTTACCATTTTGATCTTGTGCTTATTACTGAAGTCCTGAAATAGCCACACTGCCAAAAGTCCTTTGCTTATAGGTGCCTTTACCTTTTGTTTCAGGTTTTGAGACTCGATTTAAAGCTAATGAATCAGTCACTTCGCAAGATATCCATGGAGAAAAAAAATCCAGTGAACAGGGAATAGTAAGATTCAGAAGGAATGATTCCTGGTCGTCTATCTTATACAAAAACTGGGAATACCGTGGTGTTGATTATAAGAACAAAAACCATGAGAGACATTTGAGGTGAGTGCCATTAGCATAAAAGAAAATAGTGCCTCAAGAGAGAATCTTAAAATGTCATGAAATTTAAAAACATATATATACAACTTGGTCAGAAATTGCGATTTCATAAAGAATTTTCACAAGATTTTTTCCCCCCACAAATGAGACTGAGCTCTTCAATGTTTGACACATAATTCAGTTGTAAATAATTATCAAAAAAATCCCATAAGTCAAAACTTAGTGATAATATTGGCTGTTGTAGAGTCCCCTGTGAGAACTTTCAGCTTACAACTTGACAGAGCAAAAAAATATAATATAATAACTGAAAATGGTAAAAATTTATTTATTACTAATAATGTGCTTTTTATTTTTAAAAGAAGTCATGTGATGGAGGACATCTATGAATGTAATGAAGCAGATCAGTGTCGACAAATCTTTGGCTTAATTTCAGATCTTAATATACTCAAGAGAACTACTGACGTAAAATCCTATGAATGCTATGAGTGTAAAAAGATCTTCATGGATCATTTATCCCTTAAGAATCACATCAGCTCTCACACTGGAAGCAAACCCTATCAGTGTAAGGAATGTGGGAAAGCTTTTCATTTTCTCGCTTGTTTTAAGAAGCATATGAAAACTCCCACTGAAGAGAAACCCTATGAATGTAAGGAATGTACCAAAGCCTTCGGTTGTTCTTCATTCTTTAGGGCACATATGAAGATTCACACTGGAAAGACAAACTGTGAATGTAAAGAATGTGGAAAAACCTTTAGCTGTTCTTCATCTCTAACAGAACACAAAAGAATTCATAGTGGAGATAAGCCTTATGAATGTAAGGAATGCGGGAAGGCCTTTAGTTGTTCCTCCTCACTGTCCAAACACAAAAGAATTCATAGTGGAGATAAGCCATACGAATGTAAGGAATGTGGGAAGGCCTTTAGTTCTTCCTCTCACCTTATAATACATATAAGAATTCATACTGGAGAGAAGCCTTATGAATGTAAAGAGTGTGGAAAGGCCTTTAGTGAGTCCTCAAAACTCACAGTACATGTCAGAACACATACAGGAGAGAAACCCTATAAATGTAAGGAGTGTGGGAAGGCCTACAATTGTCCCTCTTCCTTAAGTATTCATATGAGAAAACACACTGGAGAGAAACCCTATGAATGTCTAGAATGTGGAAAAGCTTTCTATCTTCTCACTTCCCTTAATACACATGTGAAAAATCAAAGTAGAGAGAAACCCTATGAATGTAAGGAATGTGGAAGAGCCTTTAGTTGTCCCTCCTCCTTTAGAGCACATGTGAGAGATCACACTGGAAAGATACAATATGAATGTAAGGAATGTGGGAAGGCTTTTAGTCGTTCCTCATCCCTCACTGAACACTTGAGAACTCACAGTGGAGAGAAGCCTTATGAATGTAAGGAATGCGGGAAAGCCTTTATTAGTTCTTCCCACCTTACAGTCCATGTAAGAACTCACACTGGAGAGAAACCTTATGAATGTAAGAAATGTGGAAAAGCCTTTATTTATCCTTCAGCCCTTAGGATCCACATGAGAACGCACACTGGGGAGAAACCCTATGAATGTAAGGAATGTGGGAAAGCCTTTCGTCATTCTTCATACCTTACTGTACATGCCAGAATGCACACTGGAGAGAAACCATTTGAGTGTCTAGAATGTGGGAAAGCCTTCAGTTGTCCCTCATCCTTTCGAAGACATGTAAGGAGCCACACTGGTGAGAAACCATATGAATGTAAGGATTGTGGGAAAGCCTTTGTTTGTCCTGCCTACTTTCGAAGACATGTGAAAACACATATTAGAGAAAATATATGAATGTTGAGAAATTTGGAAATGTCTGCAAGGCTTTTCAAATCTTGTAACGTGAGATCTCACACTGTGGAGACATCCTTTGAATGTAAGAAAGTATGAAATTGTTGCTCATCTTTTTGAAGACTCTTGAGAACTCACAACTGAGAAGCCCTGTGTATGTAAACCATGTGGCAACGCCTTCATGAATATCACTTATAAGTCAAAATTTATAAGCAATTCATACTAGAAGCAGAGATCAGTGCCTCACCCTTAGAATGGAATGTTGGCTCATTGATTTCCAGTTTTTATTTTTCGATAGGAATATTTAAGGTGATAATTTTCCTCTAATACCTTTCACCTCTAATATGTTGTATTCTGAAGTGCTTTTATTTTGGTTCAGATGTAAATGTTATTTCCATCACTAAGTCTTGGACCTATGGGGGCCTTGAAGTGTATTTTTTTTTTTCATATCCAGGCAGGAAGGGTCCTTTTAAAAATTAGTTTCTGATCAACTCATTGCTCTCTTAAGTGTGCTGTCATTATGGTATGGGCACTTTGGTATTTGTAATTTCTTTTACAATTTTCTTTTGTAATTGGTAATTTCATTTTGATTTAGTTCGGCAGATTCTGGAAATTGCCTACCCAATATCTCCGCCCCCCCTTTTTTATTTTACAAAAAACCTACATTTTTTGATGTTATCAGTTGACTATTGTAAGCTAATAAGTAATTAATAAGATTAGTGCAGAAATTAATAAGACACTTGCAAGAAGTGTCTCATCTGATATGTTTTTGTATTTTGTTCTTTGTCCTTGCTCATGGGCGAGAAATGGACCTAGTGTTTTGAGATTAAAGAGGGACTTTGTCACAAGAAAGCTAGAAGTAAAGTTGGTTGGGCTGGCTTGTTGTGTTAATTTGGGCATGGCTGGGACTCCATTTCCCAGAACCACTTCCATATGCAGTTCCAGGTTAGAGTTGTCTAAAATAAAGAGTTTGCATGAAAATTGGAAGGCCGAGGCTAGGATCCATGATTTTTAGTTTAATGAGGCCGTGAGACAGGGAGCCATATGCATAGGTGTCTCGTGGGCTCTCGTTTCTTCTCATTTTCCTGATTACTGGCCCCACTAATCAATACTGGCTCAGATGGAACAGTAAGCACGTGACTTGTTACCTCAGAAGCAGCAGCTCCACAGACATCTCTGTAAATTCCTCCATCATGGCCACACACAGCCTCTCAGATCTTCTGGCAGGTTCTAGCATTGTCATTTTGCTGATATTACAGTTCCTCCGGCACATCAACTGATTATATAGAATTGGACCCAGTTTGGAGCAGGATTGTTGTCATCTACACAGTCCAGTTCTATTATGTCACCCTACTCAAGGGGAAAGATACATCTATATAAGTTACTGTAATCTCAAAATAAGAAGAGCTGTGGACAGTGAAAATTAGATATAATTGAGGTAAGCATCAGATAAGGTGTGATCCCATTTAGCTGTGGACAGTGAAAATTAGATATAATTGAGGTCAGCATCAGATAAGGTGTGATCCCATTTATATTTGACACCTTCAAACAGGGAAGATTTTACCACTTTTTTATCTGATAATTTAGAAGTTATTTGGTTTGTGCTTTATCTCTAAAAGTACAGTCCTGCGTTACATAACATTTTAGTCAACAACAGACTGCATAAGAGTATATTAGAGCTGAAAAATTCCTATTGCTGAAACAGTCTATGATGTTTGCACAATGATGAAGTTTCTCCATATATCCCAGTCGTTAAGTAGCACATCACTGTATATCTATACCACTTTCCCTTAATTACTTTTTATTTTATTAAGGCATACATACATATGCATGAAGTGTGCCACTCTTAAGTGTACAGCTTAATGTAACTTCACATATGTATACACTCTGACAAACAGAACATTTTCCAGAACTCTAGAAAGTTCATTAATCTGCCTTCTCAATAATTGCTCCACAGAAGCAACCACAATTTGACTTTTATTACAATTTATTATGTTTGCGTGTTCTTGATTTTTATATAAATTAAAATACAGTACATACAGTTATGTGTTTGGCTTCTTTTCTCAACATAATGTCTGTTTGCCTTTTAATTGTGCTTTTGACAGACTTACACTTATTTCTGTTGGGAAATGCTTTGTATGTAGAAATGAGATTAGTGCATCAAAGGGTAGACTTTATGGTAGGTATTCCAGTTTTTAAAAAGGTTGATTCCACCTATAATCCTAAAAGCAATGCATGAAAATTCCAATTGTTCCACATACCTGGCCAGCCCTTTCTAATTTTAGTCATTCAGCAGAAGATGTGGTAATATCTTGTTTTTGGTTTTAATTTGCGTTTACCTGATATGATGTCAAATGCTTATTTTTATCTACTTATTGGGTATTTGGATATCTTTTATGAGATTTGAAGCATGTACCCCCTCGTTTTTTTAAATTTGAAGCATTTTCTTCTGGTTACTTGTCCTTTATTGTATGCATATCTCTATAGTTGCATATATATGTATACATATATATACCATGTATTATAGATTATATGTATGTTATGTACATCATATATACATATATTGCAGATAATTTTTCCCAGCCTCAAGCTTGTCTTTTTACTCTTTTCATATTTGTTAGATATAAAGGGAATTTATTAGTTTAATTACTGAAAAGTCCTTGAGTATAATTAGCCTCAGGCATGGCTGTTTCCTGGGGCTAAAAAGATACTATTTGAATGAATTCAATTTCAATATCTTGGCTATACATATTTCTGCATTGGTTGTTCTTCCTGGCAGGCTGTCTCTCTTCATTGTGGGACTTAGAAGATTCAAGTAGCTTTCTTTCCAGGTTGAATTCTCAGGGAGAAGAGAATGATGGTCTCTTATGACAATTCCAATATGATTATTGAAATTGAATTTGATTGACTTACTTGTTCACTGTTATCCACGGGAATGTAATACTCTGATTTCTTTAGGACTAGCTCCAGTTCTCATCCAGAAACCAGAGTAGAATCTGCACCAAATGAATTATAGAGTCCTGGCAATTGTGATGTATATCGGGAGGGGAGGAGACAGCAGTGGGCAGGTGGGATCTAGAAATAAAGGTAATAATGTCAGCTACCATGCTGTGCTTACTCTGGGTTTTCAATGGGAAGGAACTATGAAGTTTGGGAACTCAGCCAGGGCTAAGTAGTTCTGGACATTTTTCCTGAAAGGGTATCTGTTAACATGTCTCGAAATTGTAAAAGATTGCTTCTCAATCTTTATGTTGTTTTGTAGTATTTTTGGAAATCAGGTAGTGAGAGCCTTCCAACTTTTTAATTCTTTAATATTGTCTTGCCTTTTTATTCACCGTTTGTTTCTATATTTTAGAATCTTATTTATTTTTACAAATCTAGGATTATGCTTGGAACTGCATTGAATGTATAGAATAACCTGAATAAAATTGACATGTTTACAGTATTGAGTCTTCCAGTTGATGAACATAATATAGTTGTCCATTTACCTAAGTCATCTTTAATTTCTCTTAACAATGTTTTATAGTTTTAATTATAGAGGTCTTGAATAACTTTAATTTATTTCTAGGTATGTAATATGTTTTGCTTTGTAAATATTTTTATTTATTTTCTTTTTCAAATTTTTTGGGCTACCACATAGAATTACAATTTCTTTTTGTACATTGACCTTTTATCCAGTGACATTTTCTTTTCATTCAATTATTCAAATATTTATGGATTATTTTGGATTTTCTGTGTATGCAGTCATGTCAATACCAATAAAAGAAAGTCCTACTTGAATTCTAAACTTAATCTTTTATTTTTCTTGCCCCATTACTTTACAATCTTGAATAGAAATGATGAAAAAATCTTTGCCTTGTTTCTGACCTTCTATTTATCTATTTCACCATTAAGTATAATAATACTATAAGTATTTCATAGTTAATGGCATCTTTGAGGCAAGCACTAGATATCTTTTCAACCATCCACATCATTTGGGCTCCCTATATTATGGAAGGAGTGTTAAAAGGAAAGGAGAGAATCCGGTCAATAAAGTGAGAAACCAAGATTGCTGTATCTTTGAAAACATAAGGCACATTGTTATTATACAGATATTGATAGTTTGATTTGACCAAAACAGCTAAGGTTTATTGAGTGATTATTCTTGTCAGGCACTATCTGAAGCACTTTATATATAATGCATTTTCTTTTCACAAAAGACTTTGAGATAGATGCTGTCATTATCCACATTTTATAGATGGGGAGAAAGAGGCAGAGGAACAGCTTGCCCAAGGTCACACAGCTTGTAGGTAGTTAAATCTGCCTGGCTTCAGAGTTCATACTTTTAACCACCACATGTTATTATTCAAGAGAGTAACTCGTGGAAATAATATCTATTGCACAGCAACAAATGCTAAAATTCTTTAGCTCCAATATCTAACTCCAAGTACACTTCTGGATAGTAATTTGTAATAGTTAACATTTGTTAAACATTTACCATATGCCACACACTCACAAATCCTCTTTCTATTATATACTTTCCTTTTTACAAAACTTTAAAATAATTCCAAATTTTAATTTTACAAATTGATTGCTTCAAGATGAACATCTTCCTGCAGTAAGCCTCTCATTTTGTTCTATCTTGTTTTCCCTTGTTTTGAGTTTTTAGTGTGGCAAAAAACCACAAAAACCAAAAAACAAAACAAAACACACAAAACACACAAGAAAAAAAATGCAAAATTTACCCCAAAAAGTCCACGTGTACAGTACAATAATGTTGCACATTGTTGTGCAACAAGTCCCCAGAACCCACCTACTTCATGCTTTGTGACTGAAACTATATAAACCCAACGACTCTTCACCTTCCCTCAACCTCTGGTAACCATCATTCTACTTTCTATTTCTGAGTTTTATTAGATACTTCGTATAAGTGAAATCTTGCAGTACTTTTGTGACATTTACTTAGCATAATGTTCTCAAATTTCATGTTGTAGTATATGAGAGCATTCTCTTTTTTAAGGCTGAAGAATATTGCATAAAAAGACTACATTTTAAAATTTATTTTTCAATTACAGTTGTCATTTAATATTTTATATTAGTTTCAGGGGTACAACATACAGGTTAGGCATTATATAATTTACAGAGTGATCCCCCAATTAGTCTAGTACACACCTGACATCACACATAGTTATTACAATAGTACTATATTCCCTATGCTGTACTTTACACCCCGTGACTATTTTGTAACTTCTAAATCCCTTCACCTTTTTCACCCAGCCCTCCAACACCCTCTCTTCTGGCAGTTTGTTTTCTCTACCTCTGAGATTGTTACTGTTTTGTTTGTTCATGATTTGTTCTTTAAATTCTATATATAATTGAAATCGTATGGTATTTGTCTTTGACTCATTTCGGTTAGCATAATACTCTCTAGGTCCATCCATCACAAATGGCAAGATTTCATTTTTTTTTTTTTATAGAATAATATTCCATTGTATATATGTACCACATCTTTGTTCAGTCATTTATTGATGGGCACTTAGGTTCCTTATCTTGGCTATTGTAAATAATGCTGCAGTGAATGTAGGGGTGCCTATAAGTCTTTTTGAATTAGTGTTTTAGACTTCTTTTGACAAATACCCAGAAAGGGAATCTATTTTTAATTTTCTGAGGAACCTTCATTCTCAGATGAAGGTTTTCCATAGTGGCTGCACGAATTTAATTTGCAATCCCACCAACAATACACGAGGGTTCTCCACATCCTCGCCATCCTCGCTAACACGTGTTGCTTTTTGATTTATCGATGACAACCATTCTGACAGGTGTGAGGTAATACTTCACTGCGGTTTTAATTCACATTTTTCAGATAGTGACATTGAGCATCTTTTCATGTCTATTGGCCATCACTATGTCCTCAGCCCATTTAAAAAATGAGATTGTTTTTTGGGGTGCTAAGTTGTATGAGTTCTTTATAAATTTTGAGTATTAATCCCTTATCAGATATATTTTTGGTGAATATCTTCTCCCATTCAGCAGATTGTCTTTTTGTACTGGTAATGATTTCCTTTGCCGTGCAAAACTTTTTTAGTTTGATGTAGCCCCATTAAAAAAATTTCCCTTTTGTTTCAGAAACAATACTCCTAAGAGCAATGTCAGAAAGTTTACTGCCTATGTTTTCTTCTAAGAATTTTATGGTTTTGGGTCTTATATTTAAGTCTTTAACCTATTTTGAATTTATTCTTGTATGTGGAGTAAGAAGTTGGTTTAATTCCAATTTTTTTTGCATGTATCTGTTCAGTTTTCTCAAAAGCACTTACTGAGTAGACTGTCTTTACTCTTTGTATAGTCTTGTCCTTTTTGTCATAGGTTAATTGACTATATAGATGTAGATATATTTCTGGGCTCTCTATTCTGTTCCATTGATCTGTGTGGTTTTGTGCCAGTACCATGCTGTTTTGATGACTATAGATTTGTAGTATAATTTGATATCAGGTAGCATAATACCTTCAACTTTGTTCTTTCTCAATATTGCTGTTGCTATTCAGGGTCTCTTGTGGTTCCATATAAATTTTATAGTTATTTTAGTTCTGCGAAAATTGCCATTGGTATTTTGATAGAGATTGCATTGGATCTATAGATTGGTTTGGGTGGGATGGACATTTTAATGATGTTAGTTCTTCCTATCCACGAGCATGTTTTATCCCATTTATTTGTATTTTCTTCAATTCGTTTCTTCAGTGTCATAATTTTTTTGAATACAGGTCTTTTACCTCCTTGGTTAAATTTATTTCTATGTTATTTTATTTATTTTTTGATGCAATTGGAAATGGGATTGTTTTCTTAATTTCTCTTTCTGATAGTTCATAATTGATGTGTATAAATGCAACTGACTTCTAAATATTAATTTTGTATCCTATTTTACTGAATTAATTTATTCTAATAATTTTTAGGTGAAGTCTTTAGAGTTCTCTCTGATAGTATCATGTCATCTGCAAATAATGACAGTTTTACTTCTTTCCAATTTGATGCTTTTTACTTTTATTTTTTCTTGTGTGGTTTCTGTGACTAGGAGTTCCAATACTATGTTGAATAAAAGTGGTGAAAGTGGATATTCTTGTCTTGTTCTTGGTCTTGAAAACACTTTTAGTTTTTCACAATTCGGTATGTTGTTAGCTCTGGGTTTGTCATATGTTTGTCTTTTGTTATGTTGAGGTATATTTCCTCTAGTCCCACTTTGCTGAGAATATTTTTTATCATAAATGGATACTAAATTTTATCAAATGTTTTTTTGTACACTATTGATATGATCATATGATTTTTATCCTTAATTTTTTTTAAGTGGATATATCTATCATGTTAATTGACTTGTGGATATTGAAACAACCATGCATCCTGGGAATGAGTCACATTTGATCATGGAATATAGTCTTTTTAATATATTGTTGAATTAGGTTTGCTAATATTTTGTTGAGTTTTTTTGCATCTATACTTTACAGAGATATTTGCCTATAATTTTTTTTAACTTTATTTTTTTATGTTGACACTGGTTAACGAAATCCAATGTTTCAACTGTACACTTTAACAGTAAGGCATATATATTTACACTGTGTGTTCACCTCCCATAGTTAGATTTCTTCTCTCACCACATATTTGACCCTGTTTACCCTGTCTACCTTCCCTCTCCACCCACACTCTACCCTCTGGTAACCACTAGTCTATAGTCCATGTCCATCAGTCTCTTTGTTTGTCCTGTTCATTTTTTGCTTTTAGGTTTATATCCCATATATAAGTGATATCATGTGATTTTCAACATTTTCTGTTTGGCTTATTTTGATTAGCATGATTATCTCACGGTCTATCCATACTGTCACAAATGACAGTATTTCATCTCTTCTTAAGGCTGAGTAATATTCCATTGTATATATGTACCACAGCTTCTTTAGCCAATCATCTATGGTAGGACACCTCGGTTGCTTCCATGTCCTGGTCACTGTAGATAATGCTGCTATAGACATCGATATGCAAATATCTTTTCGGATATGGGTTTTCAAGTCTTTGGGGTAAATACCCAGTAGAGGGATGGCTGGATCATATGGTAGATCAACTCTTAGTTTTTTGAGGAACCTCCATACTGTTTTCCATAGTGGCTGTACCA